AGAGCAAGCCACAAAATCTCAGGATTGCAATTTGTGCCGTCTTCATCGAAGAATGAGGTTGACTGCGTCTCGGTTTGGTGAGGTTTGTAGAAGAAGAGATACAACAAGTTGCAGAGCTCTAGTAAATGCCATAATATACCCAACCGAATCCTTTAGCAATGCATGTGACTATGGAAACAAGCATGAAAGCGTGGCAAAAGCAGAAATAGAGAAATCATATTCGCAATCAGAAGTACAATCTTGCGGGTTGCTTATTGATAGGACCCATCCATTTCTGGCAGCATCGCCAGGTGGTTTGATAGGCGAAAAATGTCTGCTAGAAATTAAATGTCCATGGTCGGCTAGATAAATGACCCCTGAAGAGGGCATTCTGAACAAAAAACTACGTTTTGGATAAACGATGAAATAAATAAAAAACATAAGTGGTATTACCAAATTCAAGGGCAGCTACACGTTGCACAAAGAGAGTACTGGGTGCTTGGTGTTTGGACCCCGTATGGTTTGAAAATAGACGTCATTCAAAAGGATGACGTTTTCTGGAAAAAAGAGATGGAAGAGAAATTGAAATTCTTCTACATGAACTGCTTGCTCCCAGAACTGGTCGATCCCAGGAAAAGCAGAAATATGCCAATCCGCGATCCCGATGTGATCTTGAAGGCACAAGAGAACCGTTTGAACAAGAAAAAGAGTTCTTGAGAATTGGCTATTTTTGCTGTACTCGGGTACCAAAATGGAAGAGATTAGCATATTACATTGTACGCCGTTACTAACCCCTTCGCTTTAGCAGCGATGTGCGAGATGTTATGCTAATCTCTTCCATTTTGGTACTAGTACCAGATGTTCAGTATTTATTGTATATTATGTATATATTGTTTGTTTAAATAAAAGTCAATCGTCAGGCTCAATAGCACGTAGCATCGGCTAGCTTTATCTAGTCTGTTAGATGGCGAATATTGAAATGTTACATTGACACGTTAAGCGCCACAGTAGAATCTGAAAATCCAGTCCTCTGGGCCAAACTGTTATTATTGTCAAATTAGCTTGTTTTAAGTTTCGGTATAAAATTTTGACTTGACTTTTTTCTCAAATCCTATGATTTTTCCCCTTTTTTGATTTTTTTTATGATGTACTAGTTGTATGTCGCGTGGCCCACAGACCAGTCGGGTCGCGTGGCACATAAGTCGCGTCGCGTTTTTTGCAAGTCAAGACTTGCATCATGTCGCGCGTTGAGCACTGTTTCGTGTCATTTATTATTGAAGCGTTGTTGGTATTGTACGTCATCTTGTCCAAATTGCTTTACTGTTTATAAACTATTGAATACCAAATTTAGTGATATCGCATTACGAAGCGGAGCAAAAAAGGCTTGAACAATTGTGTAATGAAATACTATCGGATGAAGAGAGTGGCAGTACTGAGTTATGTGGGGATGTATACTTATCTGATGCGTATTCTCCAAGTGGTAGTGAATCAGATAGTAGTTGTAGTAATTCCATATTTATCTGTATTACTGTTTATTTATACCGGTATTTTGTTTATTCCTGCATAAGACTTTGTCAATCTGTTTAGTTTATAAGAGTTCCTCCATATTTGTGTTCGTTAGAATATCGACATTTACCATAACTTACTGATTTGCTGTGAAATTACTTTGTTCATTTTTGAATGAGAATGTCTGATTATTTTATAAGATTTGCTTTTTGTTTTAGATTTGTAGAATATCCTCTTTTTGTAAAACTCTATAAACAACGTGTTTTTTAATGTTTTCATTTCCAATTCAGTATAATTTGGTCCCTCAGGCCACGGACTCTTGGTTCCCGTAAGAAAATCACATTAGCATGGCACACGTCTTACGTTACGCGGCCAAATATAACTGCCAGCAGTGAGACATATCATGTGTGTCACGAGGCCCAAAGCGCCAAATGAGGTGCGACACACGCATTATATCTCATGACGCTTATCGTGTTAAGTTTATTTTACGATACTCCATAAGGTTAAAGCTAAACAGCAAGTGACATTTTATTTGTGTTAAATGCGTTCACTATAATTACTATTTTTAACTAAAAAGATTACCGCCTCCAATGACCCTGGAACCACCTGGAAACTTTTGGTCACAAAGTTCTGTATTTTACCACACATGTCAAGTCTTTTCATTTGATATGTAAATTGGGGGTTTTGTACAAAAATATGTAACTCGCAATTTCGAAACGGCGGCAATCTTGGAGTCAAATTTTTAGTGAAGTACTGTATTCTACAAGGCGATGACTCTTATTTGAGATATTGGCAAGTATGTAATCCGCCATTTTGTGACGGCCGCAATCTTGATTTGAAACTGTTTTCGTATTCCTGTTTTGTACAAGTGCTTCCATTTGATATCCATATTGGGGTAATTGAACAAAAATGATTTTTTGTCTTATCACCTCTGAAGCATGGCCTATTGTATAAAAAGAAATGTTCAAAATCGATTAAAAATTTCCCCTCTTTCATTGAAGTCTATTAAAAATGTCACTTATTGGTGGTTTATCTCGAACGACCGACGTCAAAACTGCTACTGTTTAATACTGTTTAACTTGGGACAACAAATTATCTGAATACGTCCTTTCTTAGTCCGTACATACCGCCGCGTTGCTTCGACTGGCAGCACGAGATAGTGGATAAAATTCGTGTAAAAGCCTATTTGCAGAGGTTTTCGCGCTTCAAAATTGACGCTTCATTTTTGAATATTTTTCAATAAAATTTTCACAGTGCACTAAAAACAAGACTCCACAGGGTGCTATAGAGCCACTTTTTCGATTTTTCCTCTGGGTTATTTTTAAAAAAATCGAGAAGTCGAACAACAGTTATCTGCACTTCCACCCACCATAACTCCTGAAAAATTTTTTTTTTTAGAAAAGTGGCTCTATAGCACCCTGGACAATTGTCTTCTGAATATACTGTATAAATTTTATTCAAATATATAGAAAAATGGAGCGTCAATTCCGAAGCAGCTAAACCCTTGTAAATGGCCTGAAACTCACTGCGTCGGAGCCGCCTTAACAGTGTTACATAATCTAGTTTATATATTCATAATTACGTCCTCAATACTTTTGAGTTACTTCAGACTTTAGGCAACTAATTATTGTTAACGGATTATAAAGGGTCGTGTGTTTTTTGACATTCAAATTCACTGTAGAATAGTAATATTGTTTTATTCATAGTAGCTGAAGGCCAACAATATCTGATAAACTCTCGTGAAACTGTCAAGGAGGGAATAGAAATAAAGTATAATTATAAGCTTTACATCCCCTAATCATGTTCATGGAAACAACTTGAGCGGCTTCATCGGCACTAAAAATAAGCTCATATTTCAAGTTGATCGGATCTATGAAATATTTGTTTAAATTACACTATCCTACCGCTTTCCCAAAATTAGCCGTTATTTTAATATCTAAAGTTTAGGCATCGTGATAATTGTGTATTGAACTTTTGTTTTTATTGCGAACGCAGTAACGCCATTCTTTTATTATATATGTTTTGTATCTCAGTGTGTTTTACTACGAGGGATGTCTTTTAAGTTTTGCATATGGAAATAAAACAACACGGTAGGTAGTTTTAAATGACCTTATTGTTTTTCGAAGTATTCTCCACGAAGATTAATATACATCTGCATGCGCTCGAACCAATTTTCGAAGCACTTATTCCACTCGTTTGCTGGCAGATCCAAAACGGCATTTTTGAATGCATCAACTGCTTCTTCTGGTGACTGGAACCTTCGACCACGCAGTCTGTTTTTAATTTTCGGGAAAGTACAGAAATCGTTAGGACTTAGATCGGGACTATATGGAGGATGGTCCAATAATTCCACGGTTTCTTCCGTTAAATACTGCCTTGTTTTTTGGGCTGTGTGCGAGCTTGCATTGTCTTGGTGGAGGATGATTCTTCTTTCGGGGTTGATTTTTCGAAGCTCGGTGATGACTTTTGCAAACAAACGGTGGTATACCAATCCACAGTAACAGTTCTTTGCTCATGAAGAGGAATCTTGCAATATGACCCGCTTTTGACACAAATGTCGTGACCATCTTTTCTTTTTCGAAACACTTCGAGAACGGACTACTTTTGTTGGCTTTTCTTCAGCTTGGAACACCCAAATAGCCGACTGTCGTTTATTTTCTGGTTCATCACAGTAAATCCACGATTCATCACCACTAAAAATGCTGTACACATGTTTTGAGTTTCCGGAATTGAAACGGTCAAGCGTTTTTTGACACCAATTAACCCTGTCTGCTTTCTGCTCTTCAGTCAACAGGTGAGGTATCCAACAAGAAACTAATTTTCTTACTCCAAATTCTTCAAGTAAAATTTTTTGAATTGAGATCTTTGAGATCTTGAACGACGCCTCAATCTCGCGATATGTCACATATCTAACTTCAATAATGAGTTTGCGCACAGCATCGACGTTTTCCTGGGTGACTGCCGGTTTTGGTGCACCCACCCTGGGATCGTGGCTAGGACTCACCCGCCCACGCTTGAATTCTCCATACCAACGGGAAGTTGTCGACTGATGTGGCGCTTCGTTGCCGAAAACAGTCAGTAACTCAGCAAGGCATTCTTGTTGCGATAATTGTCTCTGAAAGTTTGTAATAAATTATGGCGCGCAAATGTTCTCGGTTGAGTTCCATTTTTCTAATGACTTAGTAACACTTAAAAATTCACTGTAGTGAGAACACTGCACGTATTGTTGTGAAACTTTGAATTTAAGTTTACTAAAGAATGAGGTTAAGATTCTGTACTGACGTTCGATCCGCGCGGCCTATGTTTCTATATGCAAAACTTAAAAGACATCCCTCGTATCGATTTGAAATAAAAGTTGCGATCCTGCGCTCTTATAAAAGTAGTAATTTAAATATTCAAAAATGCCTGAACTTTGAACAAAAATGGGCTTTTGGCATTTTAAAGGCAAATAAAATACTAGGATAAAAAAGAATCTGATCATATTTTTATATGAGTTAATAACTACTAAGGGTTACCTAAAGCGTGTCCTTTTTGAGAAAAGTGGAAGCAGTCATATGTAATGTAAGATACATCGATTACTTCATCAAACTTTCGTTTAGGGTCCTCTGGTGCATTGAAAAACTTCATGAATGGTTGTAAGACAACAGTGAAATCATCTTTTTTGTCATACCTTCCACTAAGTATCTGTAAAAAACAAATTTAAATGCCTTTTCTGTTTCCTGTATATTAGTGGTAGCACAAAGGATTACAATATCTTGAACATCAAACTATCGAGCTATGGATTGATAATATCAATATTGATTACAGGGAAGAAGCAAGTTTTCTATAAGAACGCGGAATATAGATGTATAGAATCAGACTCACAACAGGTTGTGTTACGTGTTGCCTATAACGGAGTAACAATTGCAAGTGCTTTAGAAGTGCTTGAAACTCGCACATGCACATTTAAGAAACTATAGTGTTTAGCCACCGACGGTATAAATTGATAATTACTGCAAATTATTTTAGTTAATATCTTTCCAAATGGACTCCACTGGATCCTCATCAAGTGTAGCGAAATCCACAAAAAACCTCAGGAAGCGGGGAATCAATTTTCTATGTTAAAACATAGAATGTTTATACTACTGACAAAAAGTGATATGAGGCACGAAATTTGTGGGGATTAATTTTATATAGGTCATCTACCTACCAGCTCCTCTTCTGCTCTTTGGTAAGCTCTAGTCAGACTTGTGATGATGTCCATCTCATTGCCATCTTTGTGGAAACATTCGCAAAATAATCGATGTAGAAATCTACACATCATTGTTCTCTTTACTCGGATACTAACTGAGACATCTGAAATAGTACACATACATATAGGTACTAAGTGACATATAAATCCGAACACCCAGTTTAAATGGTTTTATTTTAATAAAAGTTGGTGAATGTATTTATCTTACTGTAAATAACAAGTGAAAAAATTTTCAGCCTTATCAGTTGGACATTCCGGTTTTTATACTGCTTTTTTTTAATTCACTAACGCCTTAAAAATGAATATTTCAGCCGCAGTAAAGAATCAACGTTGGCGGATTTTGGTTCTTGACATCCTTTACGATCGGTTACGATGCCTAGAGTACGGAGACTTGTACGATTTCGTCAACTTAGTGAGTTTGATAGGGGCCGTATAGTGGGACTTCGGGAAGCTGGACTTTCTTTTCGGGCAATTGCAGTTAGAGTGCAAAGAAGTGTAGACACTGTGGTTAGGTGTTGTCAGGCATGGCTTCGAGAAGGCCGTACGCAAAGAGCAAGGGACACTCGACGCCGCCGTAGAACAACAGACCGTGAAGATCGCCGCCTAAGATTATTGGCCTTAAAGGACCGTTTCTCCACTACCAGGTCCATTGCAAATGAATGGTTTGCAGAACACGGAAGACCTATTGGCATGCGAAGTGTTTACCGACGAATGAGAAGTTTTGGCTTGTTTTCATACCGGCTACACTGGGTCCTCCCTTTAACTCGAGAACACCGACGTAATCGCCTTGAGTGGTGCAGACAACGGTCACTCTGGGATCAGGAATGGAACAGTATTGTCTTTAGTGACGAGTCTCGATTTTGTTTAGGTATGCACGATGGTCGTGCCAGGGTTAGAAGGCGACGTGGTGAAAGGAGGAATCCACAGTTTTTTGTTGAAAGACATGTTCATCACACTGTTGGAGTTATGGTTTGGGGTGCTATAGCTTATGGTTCCAGGTCACCTTTAATCTTCATCAGAGGTAACATGAACGCGCAGCGTTATATCCACGAAGTTCTAGAACCCCATCTTTTACCCTATCTTGACACCTTGGCAGATCCAACTTTCCAACAAGATAATGCCCGACCACATGTTGCAAGAGTCACAATAGACTTCTTCCAACATAATGATGTCACATTGTTACCATGGCCACCAAGATCTCCCGACTTATCCCCAATTGAGCACGTGTGGGATATGATGGGTAGGAGATTGCTCAATTTGCAACGTCCTCCTCAGACTCCAGAAGCACTTCGAGAGGAGTTGGTGGTTGCCTGGAATGAGATACCACAGGAGGACATTGACCACCTGATCAGAAGCATGCCTAGGCGCGTTGGAGAATGCGTAGCACATCAGGGTGCATCCACACATTATTAAAGGTCAAAGGGCTTTAAAGCAGTGCAATCATTTTGAAATTTTTATCATTTACTTATTATGCTTCATTAAGTACTTATACAAAATTTTATTAAAATAAAACCATTTAAACTGGGTGTTCGGATTTATATGTCACTTAGTATGTATACACATAGTACACTTTTTGTCACAATTAAGGGACGGAAGTGTAAAATAAAAGTACGGAGATGTAAGTACATCATAATGCAATGACTAATCACTTGAGATTTTTTGCAAATGGTGTCAAACATAGCTAAAATAGTTTTTTCTTATTATTTTTCAATTAAAGCTTTTAACAATGTTTCATACAGGAACTGTGTGGCCTTCTTATATAGACGTCATGAAACCATGCCGACGCCAATCACTGGATTAATTACAAAGTTATTGCGAAAAATCTATTAAATACAGATCATTTTCAAATTGCTTTAGGACGTAATTATTAAAGATAATCAAAAAAGGAAAATAAGGAATAGAATAATATACATTGTTAGTAGTACCTTAGAAAGGTCCAAAATATTGCACAATTCCTTCATCTATGTCCCGTAAGAATATGAAAGACGTAAATGATTTTTATGAGTAAGCCCCACACAGGATAAGGACTAAATACCCATAGGTATCCTAGGACTCTATTTTCCATATGTGTCATTTTCTTACATATTCTTACCTAAAACTGGAATTAAGTTGACGAACGTCCTCGGCAAATGCTTCTGCAGAAAATCTAGGGCTCTAGCTAGCTTGGCAGCGTGAGCTTCAGCAGAAGCTTTTCCTTGATCGTAGCATTGAGCAGAACACAAATCATTGGCACCGAAAAATATGGTTACCATCTTCCAATGATTCTTTATGTCTATGCTTTTGTTTTTCCTCATTTTGCTCACCTTAAAGCATTAAAATAACAGTAAGTTTAAGCCTCAAATTGAGTTAGCTGCAATGTATGTGAAATAGAGATACCGCTACCAATAGATCTACCATACCCCATTCATTAAATTACATTTGATGTCAAAAACCTGTATATTAATCTTAATCCAGTGGATAAACGATAACATATCAACGACCTCCTATCCTTACGATCAACCTGATTCACTGCTTTGCTGATGACACCACTCTACATGCATGCATTCAGAGTGACAAACCGATCTCTGCCGGGAGCTGGATAAAAGAAAACTTCCTCTCTGACGAAAGACCTGGAGGGTATCACTGCTTGGGGTCGCAGCAACCTTGTACAGTTTAATGCTTCCAAAACACAGTACTGTACGTTGACTAGCAAGAAGCGGTGTAGCGCTTATCCTGTTTCGATGAACCGAGGACTTGGTCTGGCACGAACACATCTGTTCTATTGCGGCAGCTGCTTGGAAAAAGCTAGGCTATTTGTTTAGGGGTAAAAGGTACTTGAATCCACTTAATCTTCTCACTCTGTACAAAGTCCAGACAGGACCTAGCATCGAGTACTGCTCACATGTTTGGGAGCTGTCCGACTGATCGGTGACTCTTCTCTAACCGACAATCTCGGGATCCTTTCGCACCGACGGGCTGTCGACGATCTACATCTCTTTTAACGCTCTGTCAACGGGCTTTGCTCCTGAGAGCACTTGTCGCTGATGCCGCAGCGCGAAGTCCCTGCTCCCATCCTTACGGTGTCGAACTTCGTACATGTAGAACTGGTCGATACGACAGCTCCTTTGTCCCTAGGGTATCGACATTGTGGGGTACTCTACTCTGAGGCTTTTCCCAGATCTACTAACCTTAGGCAGTTCAAAAAACGGATTAATAGTCTTTTAAGCTCATCATAGCAGCCCCGATGCCCTGATATTCAGACTGCTTCGGTATAAAAAAAGATCGTTTTGGTTAATAAAATATTTGGATAGTGTCTTAAGAGGAAATGAGAAGAATTACGACCATTTTGGCCCTGGCTCCAGATTTTATTGGTTTTTGATGTAAGAGATGTTCTACACACAAGAGAATTACTCCGAAAATTATGGTCATAATTATGCCGAAAATTGTTGCTGTCGTATTACACGTAAAAGAATTCTTATGAAAATTTTCATGGTAAAAATATAAAACCCGTTCTATAGAATATGCGCGAAAATCGGCGCAGAGGGTTATTTCCGTGCATGTCATTATCAAATGTCAACGTCAACAACATAACCTCACTTAACATTTGTGGGTATGGTCCTGTTCGTGACCAAACCTGTACAAGGTGAAGTCACCCAATTACAAAAACAGAAATTTGCAGCGTCAGGCGCTGGATGCGGTAGTCCAAGCATTGATAAGTTTTATAATATTAACCAAGATCTCGATTTCAAAAATAAATTTAAATCAACGACGTCTGTTGTCTTTCCGATTATATTGGACGTCATACCCGTTAAAGTTATGTCCATTCGAAGATATTACTCTAATGCGCAGGCTTATCATATGAATTACTCGGAAATTTTGTTTGCTTGTGTCATACAGGTTGTAGAATATCTTCAACATTTTTTCCATGCAAATTTTCGGCATAATTATGACCATAATTATCGGAGTAATTCTCTTGTGTGTAAAACGGCTCTAACATGTAATCGAAATTAGATTAGATGTAATGAAAATTTAATGGCTATGAAAACAAAAATAATGTAAGACGCCTATGTGAAGTTTGTGGCCGGTCGGACCCGAGTAACGTACGTAACTGAATGCAAAATCACCGCCTATTGACCCTATATCCATTGATGAAGTAGCATACTTCTCGCAAAACATTCTCCGTGTTTAAAAACTTACCAATATTTTGGCTTGTCGCATGGCATCCGCGTCAGCGGCAACCGGAAAAGCAACATTTAGTTGTGATTTGGAAGATAAGAACTCTCCCGTGCCAGTAGAATAGCCCGTTAAGTTAGGGTTGAACTCCTTCAGGATGTTTGGAAGGGTGAGGTACTCTCTCCATGTGCCTTGACCGCCTACAATAAAAAGAAGCATCTGACATATTTATTCAATTCTCCGACGACGAGAAATTATAGATGCGTTAAGTTTACCCTTCATTTTTGTTCGCTACTACCTGATTCTTTGTTGGTCGCTTGATTTGTCGTTCTGGTTGTTCAGAACCTGAAAGGATCAAGGAGAGAGAAGCAAAAAGGAACATGTGGTATGAACTAAGAAAGGATTTAGCAACCAGCTGATACAAATCTGCAAATCAATAAGAGGTATCTAAATTTTATAGATATACTTCAAAACTCTTTTAAACAAACGTATCCGAATTTCGATTACTGATTTCGCAAATCTTTGATTGGTTTTTTGAACTAACGACTAAACACTTTTCATTATCTGAGGGTGTTTTGATATGAGATTCTGATTCATCAGAACCTATGATTATATAACACTTACGATTTTTTTATTTAGTCATATTTTGTAGGTAGGTGTATGATAAAGATTATTATTTGATTCTGACAATGTAGGAAAGACAGTGCAAAGTGGAACCAGATTGCTCATTGCAACATAAAAATTTGCCACGCCTCAAACAAAAACTTTATGAAGGTGATCCTCTTTTGGCATCGATTTACTAAAGACCCAACACATGACCAAACGACCAGATTTTGTGTAGAATAGGCTACCAAAGTTTTACATAGTGACCAACCGCCATATAATAGGCGAATGTGCTTTGAAGTTACAACAGCGTATGTACTCCCCGGACGATTAGATGAGATCTTGTCGCCGAAACGCTCCCCTTCTTGTATATCTGATTAAGAGTGAACACTTTTTCAGCACAATTGCATTAGAGAAAGCCATTGTAAATAGAAAAGTTGATATGGAAGGCAATGAGGTAAATTGGCTCAAAATTATAGAAATTGAGGTGTTGAAAGACAAGCCTTTCAGTATTTTAGTTAAAACTTATTTTGAAGCTCCCTCTAGAGAGATTAATATTGAGAAAAGATATGGCAGACCTTCGAATGCATTGCTTAGTAAAACCCTCAAAAAACTATGGCCAAATGCGAAACCTAAAGCAGAAAAGAAGCTAGACGACTTAACATCATTTCTAAATCTTATACTCAAGGATTCCAAGAAGTTCTATATAATAATACAAATTTTCGATTCAGGTTCTTGATTCATTTCGAAAATGTGTTGCTTCATTGTATTTTTGAATCAGTATATAATTAAGTTTATTACAACATTTGTCATTCAAGCAATTTCTTATTTGGTTTCGAAAATGTTTTAATTTGTGTAGTTTTAATTTTTCAATGAGTTTGATGCTAATTACTAAAATACAAAAGAAAGAATCTATCTGTAATGCGTTTCTTATTTTGCATAGCATGACCAAGTAACATTTTTGTGCTGAGGCCATTAAGTCAAAGGAAAAATGAGCATTCTTTTTGAAAGCAATACTTGACCAAGCGCCAGTTCATTTCATTAAGTTTCAGGTATAAGAGTTTTTGAAACATAAATTTGTAATATCATTTTCTCTTCACAGAACAAAAATCTTCAACACAATCGTAGCATTGATGTTTAATGAATTGTTAAAGTTTATTCATCCTCCTGAAAAACAGAGATTTGTCGCTTGGTCAAGTCATGCGTAACGCGGTCCAATTATGGAGCTTCCTACACACCTACCTGCACACCAGGAGATGCCCCGGTACTCGATCATTGTTCCCAAGGCGTATTCCTCCATAGCACCATTGCCAGCAATGAGGGAGTCACCCATGGCACCGATCACGTCTATATCTCCAGGTCTCAGTCTATGAACGCTAGTCGGTCGTTCTAGAGATTTTCCTATTCCAGGTTTAGTTGCATTGGCACAAGGAAATGGCATTGTCTTCGGAAATATGACTTGGGTCCTCACTCTGGCATTAGACTGAGGGTATTTTATTACAAAGTTGCCCATATGTTCCTAAAATGGTATGTAGAAAAATAAAATAATATAATAATACACATGCCGTTTTCGATGCTATAAAGCCCACTATTTTCAATCCACTTTCAATCGATGGTTGGTTCCTTTACTAGCCATAATACGTTAATTCTAAATCATTAATTACTTAATCACCATTCATAACGAAAACCATAGAAACTTGCATAAGACGTCACCTCCAAGATATGGTGTTTTCGATGATCCATCCAAAAGTCGGGAGGTATAAGATAGATAGATAGTTTGTAGTTCTATCTTAGCTAGCAGATACAGACGGCCTCTGCATTGGTCCCGTTGCAATAACTTCGAATATAACGGGTTGAAGTCTTTGTCTCCAAAAGGAGTAATTTGACAAAAATTTCTCAAAAGAGGCGACTTATGTGAAAAGTTCGACAGATGATTAAAATAAGTCAGTAGCGTAGAAAATAAATATTTGTCTACTTCCCACTTCTACTGGCGAGGGAGTATTGTAATCGCAAAGATTTTGAAAATAAGATATGTTTTTTGAATGTTATATGACTTGTTCATCACGAAAAAGCATGTCACCCGTTTCAATCGGTCTGTCTGTCGGTGGTCAGCAAGTTATTGATCAGTAAATTACTTAAAAAGTATAACATTTTCACACAAGGTTACTACTACGTTAAGGACAACAAAGCTTTAATTTTGGGCAATATCTTCGCATCTTATGAGAAAAATATTCTGATTTGGATTTTTTGCATAACCTTATTCAAAAGAGCCCCTTTTGACGAATACGCATGTTGCCAGGACCAAATTTGCGTTAAGAATATTTTGTTGTTCAGAATAACCCGAATTCTAAAGCGAAAAAAAAACGATTTTTGAAATTTGTTTGAAAAAAATTGTACAAAAATGTTTGACGCAAATTGGCAACATGCCGTTATGCAAAAAATCCAAATCAGAATATCTTCCCATCAAATGCGAAGATATTGTCCAGACCATTTCCAATTTTTGAAAATCGGTACAGCAGCTAAGAAGCAAAATTCTAAAAACCGACAAAAACATAGAAACCGCTCAAACTTTCAGAGTATCCTGACCATTTTTGAAAAAATGTTTAGGGATGAAAAATCGGGAGCGGGGGTTCTAGGTGGGTGGGGAAGGGTATATAGCAATTTTTTTTGTTAGTATATTAATACCAACCTCAGTAAATTCTACGCAGGGATATTTCACACATCATAGATTCGCCGTTAAAACTAAATATTTTTGGCAGACGGACCGCGGATCCAAGAGACTCACAAAAGCAGGTAGCAGATGCGATATATACATACGAGGTGGACGCGATATTATTTATACATACTGAATACACAAGCATTAGGCTTGGAGTGTAAATCCATGTGGTTATTTGATTTCGTGACGTAATATTATTTAGTATAATATGTAAAGTATATGAGCTATATACGAGCTATTTTAATCAGTTATCAAACATTGTTGACATACATTTTTACATCAGACCTCCAAATAAATGAGGCTGGCGTATACGGACACGTTCGTGGCTGCAATCGGGAAATTTATCTTTTCACGGAAAGTCCAAAAAGTTGACTAATGGTTCTAACAAAACCTACGTTCTTTTATGGAAAGCTATTTTTAATGCGTGGAAATTATGGAGTCTCGGGTAAAAAAATCTTTGCATGCATTGGCTGCGGGTACTAAGGATTTTTAATATCAACACCCTGTATCTCGGTGAGAGAGAATTTTAGGATACATGATCTTATAAACTTTTCGTATCTATTATTTTTTGCCCTACAGATATTGCCACGTTTTACTACTATTTCGGGAAGCCCGCACGTGTATAGAAAAGTATCTTTCTATTTGAGTATTTCAATACCGTTCCTATCTATTTACAATACAGCAGATCCCCAAAAAATGCAACAGAAACCAAGAACTTGATCATTAGACCTCAAAATTTATATCATGGGGCTTTTCCGGTACGAATCTGTTATTAGACTTACTACATTTCCAAAGTGGTTGTACCATACTGGCACTGTACTGATCACAAGAGCTGCCTTCTCAAAGGTGTACATTTTTTCAGCTTAAGTTTGAAGATTTTCGAAAATACCATCGCTGAGCCATGTTTATGCTGGGTCAGAAACGAATAGGAGTCAATGGCGATTTAAATAAGATAGTTATTTGCTAGAACACCATGGTATGGGACTCCATTTCCAAGTGGTACATAAGCTGTCCAAATTTCGCTAAATTGTAGTTATTGGAGAAAATCCGATTTCCGGTAACGCCTTTTAGGAGTCTATATCTCCGTAGACGAGATTCGACATTTTTTTATCGGAAGCTTTATCATCCTGGGCACCTTGTATATCAACATTTTTTCAATGGGAGATATTAAAATGTATATAAAGTATGCAAGCTTCATTTGTGACAATCGCGTTGCATACATGGAAGCATATCCGGACGTGTAGCATAACCGCACTCGTTATTATGCAAGAAAAATTGTAATGCTTTTGGTTTACTTTCTTTTGAAGAGTGTAGTAGGAAAAACGTTGACAGAAATGTAATGAAGATTTTGTTCACGCACGTTTTAATGTCGTAACTATTTGTTTATTTTGTCTGCATATTCGATGTGCGGATTTTTTTTTGTGAGTGTAGTTCTTGAAACATACACTGAAAGTTCGTATTTGATCCAGTATGGTTTTTAGTTGTAAAACAGTTCATATTGAGTATACAGGATATTAAAGTACATGTTGATACTTCAAGCGATTAATTGTTAAGAGGCGGCTTGGAAAAACAAAATTGTTATGGCCATCTAGAACAACGGATTCAAAATCCTTCAATTTTTCCCTTTGGGCATTTAGCTGTTATGGGCAAGTTTTTTCTTATATTTAATTTAGACGGTCGGCAATACATCTGTACTAAATTTCCATACGTTCAAAATATGCAAAAAAGTATGATAATCTGTATCTGTATCCTGAAAAGAAGGCATTACCGAACTTATGTCTATATCCACCTTTGATGTTAGAATCACCCCAGCAATCACCCCCTGAAGCTTGGCCGATCATGTACCATATTAACACTAGTAATAAGACACCTTACCCTTCTAGTTTGTCTGATAATTTGTTCAAAGGTTTTCCTAGTATCTAGCTGGCCAAGTGCCATGGAATAGATAAGTATGAAGCATATAGTCCAAGTGGTAACCATTTTTCTCTCTTCTCAAGTCAAATACCTGAAAATCAGAATATATCAATTAAATCCACTAACTATTGAATATGAACTAAGAAGTTATTTGGAGGTCAAGCATCAAAAGTCAAAAACAATTACGATTCTTGGCAGCCGGATCACTCAGACCCTGAGATCATCTACATTAGGCCATCCACTAACTATTGAATGGTAGTTGCCCATATGATTCTAAAATAGTATGTGCACTTTCAATCGATGGTTGCTCCTTAGCCACAATACGCTAATTCTAAATCATTGATTGCTTAACATTCAATCTGTATTTTCTCCAAGTAGTGGTCTAACAAAAATTTCTCAAAAGAGGCGGCTTAAGTAAAACTGGATACCTTATTTAAAAACGCGACAAATCATTAAAAAAAGTCAGTGACGTAGAAAATTCTCCTTTTACTTCCTAATGTCTGTCTGTCCGCAAATTATTGGTCCTTCTATAACTTGGGAAGTACTTCTGGAATTTGGATGACATTTTCACACAAGGTTACTACTATGCCAAAAACGAGAACACTTTTAGTCCGTGCAATATATTCGCATTTGTTGGGAAAAGAATTGTGATTCGTATTTCTTGCATAATCTTATTCAGAAATGTCCCCCTTTTAACGAATATGCATGTTGACGTCACCAAATTTGCGTCAAAAATATCTTGTTGCTCAGAATGTCTCAAGATCTAAAATGACTATGATCGGAGCGAAAAAAAAACAATTTTTGGAATTAGTTTAAAAAATAACATTTTTGATAAGATGTTTATCTATAACCTCAAATAAGAGCTTAGAAGTCATTTGGAGGTCAAGCTTCAAAAGTCAAAAGCAATTACGATTCTTGACAGCCGGATCGTTTAGAGCCTGAGATCATTTACATTGGACTGCATTTCCAAGCGGCAATGAGTGGTTCAATCAACATGACCTACTATATCGTGTGACTACGAATACACCAAATATTTGACAACCACGCATTTTTTTTTTCGAAAAAAGCTCCTTACGAAGGTTTTAGGGTATAAAAAATGCAATATATTTTAACCTCAAATATGATAGATATCGCTATCAGAGGTTACTCGGAGGTCAAACTTGTAAATTCAAACAGCAAGCATCATTTTTGACAGCAGATTCGTTTAGTGTTAACAATTTAGAAGAGAGTATATTTTCATTATATGAGGTTACACGGTCATAAGTGCTTTAATCAATATGACCTACTGTAACAAGTGAAAAGTGCACCCAGAAAGCAACCATGCATATTTTTAAAAAAAGATTGAATTTGTAGGTTCAAATAGCAACTACCATTCTTCACAGCTATACAGGGTGTTTCAGAACTATGGGATCAAACTTGTAGGGGTTATTCAGTGTCACAGTAGAAAACATTAAACGTTAAAATTTAGAAAGACGATGAATTGCCTAAATAGGATTCAAGCGTTTAATTTTTGCCTTTTGTACATGACATCATCACAACAATTGTTCAAAATGTCTTCCTGCAACCTGAATACACCGTTCCTGTGAGGACATGTGAAGTATTTGGTTTACGAAACCCCAGTAGAAACAGAGCAAGACTTAATTGGACGAATGACAGCAGCATTTGAAATCATTCAAAACGAGTATCAAATGTTTAGTCAAGTCCGCCGAAATCATGTGCGATGTTTAAATCGGTGTATTCAGGTTGGAGGAAGACATTTTGAACAATTGTCGTGATGATATCATGTAGATACAAAAGGCACAAATTAAATGCATTAAATCCTATTTAGGCAATTCATCGTCTTTCTAAATTTTAACGCGTCTTAGGACCGTAGTGTCCTAGAGGCACTTTTCCGGATATGGGTCCTTTTCTACTGTTACTCTGAATAACCCCTAGAAGTTTGATCCCTTAGTTCTGAAACACCCTATATAAGCAAGTACTCTGGCGTAGAACTTTGAGCTCTACACCTGTTAAAAAAATGGTGGGCGCTATGTGAACTTACGAATTCATCCTCCAAATGACATCTGAAGTCATTATCTAGGTTACAGGATACTATCTGCATAAACGGCTTTCTATGGTATCACACGTATGGTTAGAGGACTTTCTCACTCATACCGATGAGGATCAAATCGAGGGAAACTGAAAAATAAGGGACACTTTGCACAAAACGTATAGTGCATGGTAGATATATGCGCTGCAGAAAGCATGATATTCTGAGCATGCCACTAAAAGAGAATCATAAGTAAATGCACATTATAGACCAGCACTTGTATGTTTTACTTCTGGTCTTTATTACGCAACCATTTCTTAAAGCAATGAACATTAAACTCATGACCGCTTCACCAGCATAGATGCCCACGAAAAGCCGAAAATTTCCGTTACTCATGCATAATTACTCAATTGTTGTTTCTTCAGACATAAATTGATTGTATGGACTTTCTTGAATTTATTTATTCAGTTTATCGAATACAGCTGATGACATAAAAAATCGCCGGTGTTGTAAAAATTGTTTTCATGTTTCAAGACCAGACTTTCGAGAAGCACAGGCGAATCGCCAACGTTATCAATAACGAAATTATAGTGATAAATGATTTCGTAACACTACTCTGATGTGTTAGTGATTACTAAGATATAATTATTATAATGAATATTTCACATTCCAAAATCACACGCTTAGTAGTTTTTATTAAATGCGAAATGACAAAATCGCCAAATTTATAACACAATTCCATCAGATGTTGTGTCACGCATGAGTGAAGCTAAAATAAAAAATTGCATTGGTTATATAAGATATTAAAAAGAAACAGCAACCTAAAATCTGTCTTCGTCATTCTCTAACTTTACTTATTCAAAAGTAAGTTGAGTACTTATTTTTATTTTGAAAAAGCCTGTCCTTTTTTTAGTGCTTCCGCGTTTTTCTAATACTCAAAAGTCGCAGCAGCATATCTAGCTCACAAATACTTTTAAACACTTTTAATTTTCCCATTTAAGAACTCTGACAGCTCAAAGGGTACAATGGCTCTCCCATTTAGAATCCCGGTCCACATTTTTAATTTAAAACGATACTGTGATCTGTCTTGTCTCATCAAATGTGGATTTCCTGCATGCCACTCGTGCCTGTGTAGATTCGGGTAACCATATTTTTTAAATATCGACTCATCAGTCCATACAATTTTATCTAAAAATCGCTGATCTTTCCGGTGTCGCCGCAACATTGTTTAACAAAACTCAACTCTTGGAAGATTATCCCGGGCTTGTAGAGATTGTACTCGCTGTACATGATGCGGGTGGAGCTCGTTCTTTCGCAAGATTCGGTGAGCGGTACTTTTGGGCACACCCGTGATGCTTCTATTTGATATACTGATGCACTCGGGTCTTCTTTGACTGCTTGTAGTTTGACGTCTTTGTAAAGAAAGGAAATTCTTCCTTCACCATGTGCTTGATTTGAGAATCGTCCCTCTGAGAGTAAACGGTGCAAATTCAGAGAAACTTGGTGATAGAGATGACGCGCAGCGTTTGAGTACCTATCACGATAAAGCCTAGCTGCAAATACATTCCCCCATAAATGAGGTGCAGGTTGGCGAATTCCTGTACCTGACATGGTGAGACTACACAATCATGAATTAATGGCGTTACTATATTTCCTGCTGTTACAATGTAGAATGATACTGTCAGTCACTCCTTCTAAGAAAAACATGAAATTTGCAGTAATGGAAACTAAAAGATCATCACAGAGTATAGATTTTTCCGACCTCTTTTGAAGCCTATAATTTGAAAAGCACACGACTTAGATTTTTTTATATTTTTCTGATAACTGTTATGACTTTGACCATCCCCCGTTTTCTGATTGACGTCGACTTCTGGGACACCCTGTATATTTTGTATTAGACGAAAGTAAAGATCATAGTATCTATTCTATCTTCATTCGGCTCTGAATAAGATGTTGAAGTTTCATACTACGGATTAGCATATTATTACGCATATTTTTTGCCAGTCAATCAACTGGATTGTGAGTGACCCCTCACCCACGCAGCAGTAATATTGTTGCTGGAGGAGGAAGTAATCTAGTACTGCTTCCTTTGTCAGTTTGCAATATTTGTGAGTCCAGTAAAGTCTATGCTATCCATACAGAACCTAATGTTTTACCGGTAATGCTTTTTATGCAATCTACTTTGCAGCTAATGCTATGCCAGTCAATTATTGCTGCATCAAACCGGCATGTCCATTCATAGGGTAATATTCACAAGGATATGCTAAGATAGTTGGGGATAGCTTCTACTAGATTTATTCATCTTTAACACATATGTCGACACATAATAGAATGATAGGTCTTCGTGGTGTTACTGATTCGCTGTTAATCTGCCGCCCTAATCACAAAGGGGATACCTACAACAATTTTCGAGCATATTTTTGATGAGGAATCCGTAATTCTTTCTCTACTCATTAGTGAAGTTTTTGAGCCGAAAAAAATAATCTTTTTCTCAAAATTCTACATGTGTGTTGTATCTGCAGAAATGTCACATTTTGCTGAGGTATATGGGTAGTAAGTCACAATGCTGCTGCAAATACGACTTTTTTGCCTAGCATCATGTACATACAAATGTTATGCCTTGGCAATGTTGCCACGTTTTTGCCTTAGTATGTTGGCTAGCATAATAATAAACGTCTTTATTAAATATTATATACAATACATGTATATATATGTATATACGAGTATATATATATAAAGTGTACCTATAGTGGCAAAGTTTAGCAATACTCGTATGCTATTCTAACACTTAACCACCAAAGTTGAATATATCGTTGTTAACAGTTAACAGTTAACACAGGCAAAACAAAAAATATATTTAACAAATCACTTATAATCGATATGAGAGGTGAAAAATGATATATTTTGTGTGCACATACTGCTACTCTAAAAAGATCTATAGAGTATTAAGGAAAAAGTTAATCGTTCAAATAACTCAACTTAACATTGTAGCGGAAACGTGGTAAACTCATAGTCTTAAATTTACTGTCCAAAGAACTACATATTGCTGCAACGTTATATGA